AAATGTGCAATGTTTTGCTGGATCCATGAACAGATTCTTTCAAGGTTAGATATGATTTGGACTAAAGTTATGTTTTTGACATGTCATTGTTTCCTGGTTAATCATTCTATGTAGATAAATCATAATATTATTAATAATAGGGTTTCCGATCGAGTTGTTTTATATAATTTTTTTCTTAGAGGACGACCGAGCACGAAGTTCTTAACTTTTTCTTTTAATTTGATTTGYCTTTATTTTAATGATGTTTGACTTCCATATGTTTCAAAGAGATTCCGTTGATTCCGTTGATTCCGTGAATTCGATATGCCGTAGTTTCCATGCATCAGGCCCATTCAGTGGAGCAGTTTTCTACGGAGGACAGTTTAACATAACAATAAACACCTTAACAAGTCGCCGACTTCCACCGATAACTCATACGATCGCTCGATCGCTGAAAAGTGTTTCCATTCATCGTTCACGATCGTTCTTGGCATCATTTTCAGCAATCCGGCGATCGTGAGCGATCATATGAAAACCAGGCTTAAGTCAACAAAGTCAACACATAGCTTCAAACGCATCAAGCGTGTGTTTGAATCGTCAGACGATGACAGCCCTCCGCTTTGACAAACCGATTTTGGCATAAACGAAGAGTTTCATATCTAGTTTCGAATTTAAACGTTTTGCTATTTACTATGTACCAGATATGTTTTTAGATTTAAATAGTGATATTTTTACATGTTGCTTTTAAGCTTTTAGCTTTTCGAAGAGAATTTTAAAATACAGGAATTTTGTATTTTTTTTAGAGAACCCATTAAAGATGAATAAATGAAATAACAAAAACTCAGTATGTATAAAATGAATAAATTACAGCATGGAAAGCGCTTTGTACGAGATTTTCCCACTCGTTGGTTTTGTATTTGAAATATTTGAAAAAAAATTGTATTTATTAGCCTACAGCGTTCTAGCCGGTATTTTTTCATTCGGGTTTTTTTAATTCGATAAGCTAGCTATTCCTTGCATACGCGCGCATACCACGCTGTTTGCAATACATCACCCTCATATCATTGCACAATTTGCCTTTCACCCCTTATTACTAGGTTTGAAATCAAGAGGCAGGTGTTTCACTGCCCCGCGATTCATATTATTTACTGTTTAGGTTGCCATAGATTCAAGTAGCATTGAATCAGCAGATACGTTTTCAGTTGCTGCACTATTCTTTACTTCCTCGCCTATAATTCGGAATTTAACACGGAAGAAATCCAGATGATTCCATTTAAGTGCATCTTGAGCTCTTTTCTTCTGGTTCAGGCTTTATTTTCAACCGGTACGTATGTGTTTGTATTACGATGATGCTGGTTCTAAAAATGTTGGTCAGGACAGGCAAAATAGCAAAACTGTAACATTGGAAAATTCTTGTGCAAACCATTTCGGGAAGCATGGGTGGCGTAGCGTATGCGACCCGGGTTCGAGTCCTGACGAGACCGGTGTTGTATGTGAGTTGAGTTGTTTGTTGGTTTTCTCCCGTGCTTCGAGGGTTTTCCGGGTTCTCCGGTTTTCCTCCCTCCGCAAAAATCAAAATTCTAATAGGAATCCAGTGGAAGAATAGCCACTCTGTGGAATTCACTGTTAACAGTTACGCCAATGTCACTGTTAATGTTTATTTTTATTTTTATTAGGAATATTATTAGTATAGGTAATAATATGAATTCGAGTACGGGCGAATGCAATTTGACTCTTTGAAAAACTAACGAGTGTAAAATAATCCCTTATGGAACGAGAAATATTATTACTTGTTATATAATTACCTATGAAATTTCTATTTTTCTCTATTTCGAAAAATTTATATCTTCACACGTGAAAATAACATGTTATTTTCATGATATGTGTGAAAATAACACCATTGCGATGGCTATTCAAAAATACACGGAAAGAATTGCCTGAAAAAGCCAAAACATACTTCATTGATAATTTTATAATAAACAGAACATTACATGGGCGCGCGGAGATACGCAATTTATTTTCTCGTGTTGAAAATCTCTCACTTGTGAGAGATCTTTTCAACACTCGAAGATAAATTGCGTATCTCCGCGCGCCCATGTAATATCCTCTATTTATTAATGATACAAGTGCAAAAATTAGGACAAAAAGTAAAGACTTCAGTCGTTCAGGGTCACGCGCGTAAGCCACGTTATGTCTTTATTGCTTATTGGTTCTAACGAATGAATTAAGAATAGCACAAAAACTGTGCAAATTTACCGACAAATTGAACGAGAAATCGTGTTATTACTTATTAATAACATACTTATGAAAACAATTACGTGTTATGAAACAATTATGAAATATTCAATGCATAAGCTTAATATTTTATGAAGTTTGTTCGTTCACAACCAACTATATTCAAAGCGATTGTGGTTTCAAATACATGTAATCGAAAGAGTTTTAACTACTTTAAACGAAAAATTGGCTATTTCTTTATTGTAAAAAGGTTTTTTACTATTAAGTAAATCTGAATCACTATGAATTCATGAAGACATTTGGATTGGCGAAACTTTGCAGCTAAGTTGTTAAGTTGTTAAGTTGTTATATTAAGAAATATTGAAAAACAATTATACCTGACAGTTGTCGAAAGTGTTCAGAAAACTTTGCGGCTCAGCTTGGGATCTTGTAGACCAAAATATTGTGTAAGCACTTCATCGCACAGAAATTGCTCATCAAATCTCGTCATTTCCAAATGAGAGATATTGTGAAGAATGGGGAAGCATTTTTTAAAGAAACACTGTAACATTTTCATACTATTGAAAGGATTTGGAAAAAAGTTGAGAAAAACGATTGAAAATATCTTTAAAAGCAAAATTCGCGGGCATTTTCTCCAAATTAGGTACCAGCCTTCATTCGGACAGCTTCTCGAACCAGAATTAAAATATATGCGGAATTCGTAAGCGAATTGGCCCTTTTTAAAGCGAGATCTGGAGACGACATTATGGAAATTGAGCAATATAGAGACCAGGTTTCTATGACTATACAAACCGCGGTAGAATGAGGATTTCTTATATCGAAAAAAGCACTGGAAAGTCGTCATTTTGGACTGTTTTGCTTTGTTGGAAGCTCGTACCGAGAGCGGTCGTCCCATAACATAAACACTACAAAACCTGAAATTGACCCACAAAAAATCGCATGTTGACAAATTGAATCACCAAAATAAATGATAAGCTTATATTGTGTGGTTGTCATTCTTTAATATTCCTATGTTACTTTTCTTGCATTAACTTTCAGTTTTCTTCACGAAGCGCTTAGACTTTCAATATCAAGTGACTTTGCCTCATAAATGGCCGTGAGAGGAAAATTGATATCCGAAAACTGGAATCTAGTAATTTATTCTCTAACTTCCCGGATGTGACACTCAATTCTGTGCGATGTACCACATCGTGTTTAATGGTCTTGTTCATAGTCTTTTTCATTTCCGTTTTAGTTTTTGCTTTACTTCGGCAAAGAATCGCAAAGAATGGCCATGAAGGGGTTTAGACTCCCATTTTTCACATTGTTTCATTTGCAGATGATCTTTGTAGGTGCTCTTTATCCTTTTTGTTTTCCAAGTTATGGCAACGTCGATTTTGCTTGGTAGAGATTCATTTAGCACATCTGTTTCGCCACATTCGGTCTTGAATCTTTTACTTTCTTTGTGTATGGAGTACATCTTTTTGTTGCTCTCATGCTTAGAGACTAGACGCACGAGGCAATCCTTGTTTTCTTTCAAGTACATGTCCAGACCAATAGTTGAGATCTTGTACGAGTTTTCTATCTGGACAAGTCCTCTACTTCCCTCTCTTCTTTTGACATATAATCTGTCAACATCCACTTTAGGATGATGCATGCGGTTCATTGTCAGGTGTTTCCTCGTCTTTGCGTCTAATCTTTTGATTTCACTTAACTTACAGTTGATGATATTGAAACTGTATGATAATACAGGTACTGCTAAGGTGTTGATAGCCTGGATCTTATTGGCTGCGTTCAACTCACTCTGTAGTATCAATCTGAGTCTTCGATAATACTCTTTTCTCACCTTTTCTTTGAATGCTGTATTCCATCACTTTCATCGATGCCTAGGTACTCGTAGGTTTTCTCTTGGTCAAGTACGTTCCTTAATGACTGTGTCAATATCAAGTTGAATGTTCGATTTCTTTATTAGTTTGCCTTTCTTGAAAGTAGCTTTGGCACATTTGGCGAGACCAAATTTCATGTTGATGTCGTTACTGAAGTGTTGCACAGTGTGGAGAAGTGTTTCAAGATGGTTGTCATCTTTTGCATACAGCTTGAGATCGTCTACATTAAAGAGATGGTCAACTTTCACTTTTTCCTTGATAGATCCCACTTTTGATAGTGATCGTTCTTGTTGTTAGTGTTCCTGCTGCGTGGCTTAGGATCATTGATGTTTTCCAATTCTTCATGGTGTGTTTCAGGAAGCTCCATAGTAGTGGTGATATCTTGTAGATCTGCAAAGTATTTAGCATCCATGGATGGGGGACACTATCAAACGCTTATTATTATTATTATTATTATTATTATTATTATTATTATTATTATTATTATTATTATTAT